CCATTTTGTTTAAAAAAAGTTTGGAATACCGTATGTGCAGTTTAGTGGAAGGCGCAGATGCAGGTAGGCTGTTAGTTGCAAATGTCCTCATACCTGGTCACCCCTGGCGCATAGTTGTTGTTTACGCGTACAATGACTCCGCGCAAAGGGAGAACTTATTCAATCAAGTGAGGATTCACGTCGACACAAGATTCGATGTTATTCCCCTTGGAGATTTCAACTGCGTATTGTCTACCAAAGATAGACTTCCTATCAAGAAAATCGTTGATCCAAGTGTTGACATTCTTCAAGCTCTCGTTCGGGATTGCGACCTGTTGGACACTTTCACAACAAAAAATGTTCTTCAATATACGCACTTCCAGGGATCATCGCATGCGCGTTTGGACCGTATCTATGTGTCTGGTTCGGCTAACAGTTCATTTATTAATTATAAAGTAATTCCTGCATATTTCACATATCATTGTATGGTCATGGTTAGTGTAGGATCGAACCGAAAACGAATAAAGGAAAAGCCGCAATCATGGGAATGCTGGAAGATGAACGAAAGCCTGTTGGAAAACGATGCTTTTCAAACAGCCGCAGAAAGCATTATAAACGACCTTGGACACATCAAAACTGGGTGGTGCCAAAACTGGGAATTCTTTAAGATTAAATTTTGAGAAGTAGCTATCGAGATATCTTCAATAAAAAGGTACGGCGAAAAAACTGAAGAAAGACGACTAAATAACGATCTCTTGTACTTATATAATCTCGAATGTCAAGAGCCAGGGATGTACAAGAATGAAATAAAAAATATAAAGAAGCAAATAGAAGAACACGAAAAGAAGCGCTATGAAGGCGCGACTGTCAGGACACGCGCTCTACAACTAATTGAAGGAGAACAGCCTACGAAGAGGTACCTACATGCCGAACGAGAGTATGTGAAGAAAAAGTAGGTGTCATTGCTAATACTGAACGGCCAGGAACTGAAGAATGAAAGTGATATTCACCAGGCTTTTGTCTCGCATTACACCAAGCTTTTTGCCACAGGCACTAAGGCACCTCATCCACGTCTGCGAGAGATAATATCAACACTACCCTGCTTAGAAAACGACACAACGGAAAAACTTAATTCACCCCTGGATGTACAAGAAATTATGCAAAACATCTCTGAAATGAAAAGTCACAAAGCTCCTGGTCTGGATGGATTGCCTGCTAGCTTCTCAAAAGAAGTGGAAAGAAAAATTAGCCCCCATACTTTGCAACGTTTTTGAAGAATCTTACACCATGGGTAACTTACCGCTGTCGTTTCGTAAGGCTCATACAATACTAATTTCTAAATCGAAAGACCCTGACAAGCTTAAAAAATTTGAAGGCTATAGACCTGTCAGCCTGCTCAATACTGACTACAAAATCCTGGCTCGATTAATCGCAGGGGGACTCCAAACTGTCATAACCCAAGTCATCGGAGATCACCAAACATGTTTAATAAGAGGAAGAAATATACAGACAAACCTCCACATTGTTCGATCAATGCTAGAGATATGCCAACGCACACAAGAAGCAGCTGCCATTTTACAGCTTGATCTCGAAAAAGCTTTCGATAGAGTAGACCACTCTTTTCTTTTTGCGCTGTTGAAGCACATACGGGTCGGCGAAACTCTTGAAAAGGGCATCACACTTTGCTACAATAGCATATCGACTAAGTTAATTATAAATGGGTCGCTTTCAAAATCTATCCCCGTTTTACGTTCAGTACGCCAAGGCTGCCCAATGTCACCACTACTTTTTAATATCTACTTAGAGCCACTCTGCAGGGTCATCATCAACGACACAAAGATACAAGGTTTTCAACTTTATGCCACCGAAGTAAAACTCCTGGCGTACGCAGACGACCTGGCCCTCATTTGCTCCAACAAACCAAGCATAGTGACAGCTATGTCACATGTCGAAGACTACTGCCATGTGTCTGGTGCTTCTGTGAATAAGGCTAAAAGTAGTGGATCGTGGTGCGGGGAGTGGGGATCAACACCGGCCAAGTACGTGGACATTGAATGGTCTCGAAACAAACCGCAGTTTTTAGGGGTGCCACTCAGTGCGATGGACAATCCAAAGTCTATGTGCGATTCTGTAGGCACAAAGGTGAAGTCAGCTGTACGTATGTGGAGCCAACGATACCTTTCTACATTTGGGAGGGTTGCCGTATGCAATATCTTCCTTTTGTCAAGACTAACATACCTTCTACAGGTTATGCATTGTTCTAGAATTACAGTTAATGAGTTCAATAGAGTTTTTGCGACATTTATTTGGAATTCTTCGTACGAGCCTATGCGCAGATCTAACCTTTTTCGACGAACGGAAGATGGTGGTCTAGGCCTCGGTCACACCTTTGTGCGACAGCTAATCGCGAGATGGAAATTTTTTAAAACTCCCCAACACCCGTTCCTTGAAGCGTGCAAAGATTATTTTTTACCAAAGTATACGCAGGCACAGGATTCTGGAATTCCATCGAGTGACGCAATCCGTTTACGCGGCTTTTATAAAGAGGTCGCAGACACCATTGAATTTTTGAGAGCACGTTTCACAAGCGCTTTCTTGGAGTCGTGCTCCAAAAAGAAATTGCAGAAATGTCTGCTTATTTCTCTATTCCCTGAACCACTATATCGCGTGAGTCCTTTCAATGCTCCTTTAAATTGTATTACGGATGTTTTAAAAAGAGTGAAACGTATGCCTATACCACCAAAGTGCAAGTCGTTCTTTTTCCGCTTTCACTCCCGAACGATACCGGTGAAAGAGTGGCGTGAATCCCGGGGATTCGATGTATTTTGGAGCACTAACTGCAGATTGGGTAACACCACTGAATCATTCACTCATGCATTCGTACTATGTGTTGATGCTGTATTTTTTTGGGACGTTTTCAAAAGAACAGTCAAAAAGGAATTTGAAGTTGAGGAGAGTAACTTTCGTTACCTGCATTTCGAAGACCGTCTAGATACGGCCCTTGACACACTTGTGGTACTTGGCTTATATAGCCTATGGAGAACACGGAAAGTGGACACGGATGGAGGTGTCGCCAAACCGTCCTGGGTAAACTTCAAGAACATCTCTATATTTGTTGGTCAGAGCTTGTTGGCACGCTCCGAGGACGAGGAAGGGAAGGATATCGTAGCAAGTATCAGTCGTTCACCAAACATCATATAATTGTTTTATGGAAATACAAAGAGTTGTATACGTAGCCATGGACTTAACGACAGAACCGCGTCGAGAAAGGTAGATGTAGTTTCTGCTAAAATCTTGCACAATTCGTACTGAGCTGCAATATTTGCTCTCTAAAGATGTTTACTACAAACGTCCGGAGAGAGAAGAATGTTGAGGCATATTTTACGTGATTTTTTTCGCTTTGATGATTTGTACATAGTGCATTTTACTGTTTTTGTGTATATAAATATGTAAATAAAGTTTCAAAAAAAAAAACTTTTTTTTGTGGCCGAGAGGTTAGAGCACCGGCACCTGACGTCGCGGCGTGAAAGTTCCGGGTTCAAATCGCGCTAGGCAGTCCTTTTTTTTTTTTGTATTTTTCGCGTGTGTCATTTTTTTACTGTGATCCTTTTTACAAATCATCCACTTGCACTACTTCGCCTCACACAGTTTTTACTGTTAGTCCTCCCGGTTGAATCGAAACACCGGGAAGGCGAAAAAAATCAAGGCAAGTTAACGCGCTAATACAATCGTTTCATAATGTTCATTAAAAGGACACCAAGGTAACCGCATCGGTATGACTTTCACACAAACGGAGCCGAAACAAGCATCCTTTCCCCAGCAACTATAAGTTTATGCGTTTTTAAATATACAACGCTCTTACTTCGACTCCTTTCAATAACAGGAGACGCGCATTTAGTACTACTAGAAACTGCAGTTGTGACAATTAAAAGAAAAAACTTCCACAAAATAAGCAAAAAGTAATAAAGACTAGCAGCTGTGCATGCATCGATTGAGCGAAATCCTACAGGCAAGGCAGCAAGTCAAACGTCTGAGAAGTAGTAATAAAAGAAATCATACTTTTACTTCCATGGAATGTGATAAAAGGTATATTTTTACTCTTTACATTTTGCTATGGCAATCGCTATGTAATATTAATACATTACTTGTTGAATTTTAGTTAGAATAGCAGACGATCACAGCCGTATGTAGAAATGAATCAGGTGTCGACATCGCAAACCATACCTCTAACCCAAAAACCTAAAATGACTTTGGATCAACACATAGAATTAATTAGTGCAGTTGAAAAACGGAAACAAAAACTTTTAGAGAAATTCAGCAGCACAGTTACCTGGCGATCGAAGATGCACGAAGGGCATGGGAAGATATTGTCAACTTTCCGCGTGGTGTACGGCAGATGCAGTAGCCGTGGGGGAAGTTGGTAAAGAAAGCCAGAGACATGTATGCACTCTTCCGAGGGCATGAACAACGAACTGGTGAGTCAGAACTACCCGCCCAATGATTTTATAGAGCTAATATGGCCTCGTATACATTCTCAGTTGAAGTGCAGTCAAATACAAGAAAAAAAAGAGTTTCTGACGCGACTTTTGGCTCATATTTACCCTTCCTGGCCGTAACTTTTCCTGCCGCTCCAACAGTATAAAGGGGCCGTCAATTGGACTCCAGTTAAAAGTTCCTGCATTCAGTTTCTGCGAGCGAAATTAGGTTTTTGTGCTTGAAGCGATACGGATTTCTCCGCCATTAGGCAGGGACGCTAGGTACTTCCTTGTCCCCGTGTAGCTGGTCACGTGACAGAAAAATCCCTCTTGGCCGCAGCCGCGTGCGCGGCCGCAAGATGAGCAAACCGGCCCAGGGCACTGTTCCAATCAATGCTCGAAAGAGCTGGAAAGCCTGTCAAACGCTCGATTTGGGGACAAACCGCTTATTTTCGGGAGCTCAATACCTGGGCTCTTTGCTCATTGCGTCATCCAGCCCCCTAATGAAGGTGAATGGTCTGCCCTTAGCCCCCGGGCCGCACTTACCTTATCCAGTCTCTGTTCTTGGGCAAGTTACCATGAACCCCCGTCACCAGCAGCAGCGGCGGAGAAAACAGCGATGCAGAAGTCCCATTCTCGGTGGGGGTGTTGGTGAGTGTGTGGGAGGAAGCGGGTCTCCGAGGACATCGCACTTCTTCGTTCTCAGGCACGTCAGCCAGGGGCGATGTCGCTCCTCCGGCCAGTCCAGCACCGGCGGCGACGTCTTCCCGGCTACATCCGGACGGTGTGCTGTGGGTACGTCGGTGAGCCAGGGGACTTCTGGCCAAATGGGAAATCATCTTCTAGAAGGGGTGCCGAGACAGATTGGTGAAGATACTAGCTTTCCTTGAGGACCTGCAGCAAGGTCTTTTGTTTGACTCGATCCAACCAAGCCCCCTTGTCGACTTCTCGCTCGTATCTGTCTGGGAAAAGAAAGAAAAAAGAAAAAGAAATAAAAATCCATAAAGAAAGAAAGAAAGGAAGATAGAGAAAGGAAAGAAAGAAAGGAAAAGGCGATGTCCGTCCTTTATCTTTCTCGTGCGCGGCGCGCGTTCGGGCGTCTTGAAAATGTCGCTCGGACCCTGGCCATCTCCCGACGTCGGGAGACACTGCAATCCATCGACGGCTGTTTCTTGGCCGCCGTGTTTGCCTTAGATTAGAGTCGGAACTGGACCACTGTAGAGGGGAGCAGAGCAAGTGGGACGACGAGCGTTTATCTCGGTTTTTTCAGCCTAGAGAAAGAAAGGTTCTTTACGGCGGTATCGTATAATACAGAAGGGTAATCGTAAGAGGTAATCTTGCGTGCGACGAGAAACGAATTTCGTCTTCAACAACAGAGGAGAATGGTGTGCATCCTCGATTCCTTCTGCCTAAGTGCTGCTTGGCGATGGAGTGACTTGCTGCTCGCGTCAGTTGGACCAATCAGAAGGGTACGGTAGTCAGTATAACGCTCCTGTATCCTTGCGATGACATGAATGAAGGTGGGTGATTTCTGATAAGATCGACCAAAGGATGGCTAGTCGACATTTTCAAATCAACTGATGTTTTTATATGTTATTGTCTAGTGTCTGGTATGAACGAATCCAAACTTAGTTTTGACTAGAAAAAATACTTGGGGACAGGAAAAATCGTAAGGCATGAGGTGGTGGACAGTTGCATTAACGCGCACTGATGGAGGGGGCCCGTTTGAGAGTGAATAACTAAAGCGATAACATTAGGAGAACTCTAATACGTTTTAGGTGCAAACTATGGGTATAGCTTGCTTGTAATATAAAGTAATCATATTTATTTAAAATTTATTTATTTTTCTAAAAATTGACATACATGCCTGCTCGAACGACAAATGGCAAACTTTGGAGGTCTGTATCTCATGAAATAATTTAATCATTATGATATAATTTGCAGATATTATTTTACTAATATATAGCCAATATTTAAAAAATAACTAAGGTATCTGTGTGATACAATAGTTAGGATATATTTAGTCAAACATGGAAAAAAAATCAAACAAAGAAAAATTCCGATGCGAATAAAAAAAAAAACACCACCCTTGATTTTTTTAAAATTTAGGTAACCTGTTATACTCTATTTCGGCATTCATTTCCATTAAAAACATGTTGCATCATTTTATTGAGAAAGAAGATACAACTCCCCAAAGTAGGGTCCTTTTTCAAAGCCTACACTTAGCAGTGTTTTATACAAAAACTGACTCTGAGTTCCAGTTTCATGAAACCAACTCACATCTTTTATATATTTTTATTCAGATGAGGCCAATGATAACTAAAGAAATCGTTCACACACTTAAATTAAGGAGAAACTACTGTGTACAAAGAGGTATCATATTACGGACTAGTGATCCGAGAAAAGATCATGCAGCCATCGGCCACTAGGAACTTCGTTTACTTTATTCTCCTGCGACACTATATGCTATTCCCTCTTCCGCTCTACCTTCATCTCTCTCTCTCTCTCTCTCTCTCTCTCATATATATCGATGATATATATCCAGAACAAAAACATGTTCAAGCATTCCCTTTCTGCGTGGTAGTGTTCTGTGGCTAGCAAAAATCATTTCCTCGCTAAGCTCACGATTATGGCAAAATAGTTGCCGGAAACCGCAGACGACACTCGTCGCTAGTTCTGGCAAAACGGCCGATACAATCTTTTTTTCGCATTTCCCCGCTCGCTGTCAAGGACAAGGGGGTTCGCTTCAACCAGCAAAACATGGCCGCCGACGCCTGTTTACTGAGCAGTCATGCCTGTCGCCATCTCACTCACTGGCGTCACGGGCGATAATATCAGGCACAAAGGGGCACACCAACCGGCAGCATTATCCCCAAATACTCGAGCCTCGCGTAAATACATAGAGTGTAAACGCTGTCGCCATGTTATCGTAGTAAGACCGCCCCCCCCCCTCCCCCAACGGGGGACTGCAGTACGCGACGGCGTACTAACACAACGGCGACGATATCGACATCGCGGGCTCCGAATTTTCCCATAGTTCTACTCCACGGGCATTTCTCGAAACGCTTGATATTGTGTACGCCCGCCTGGAAGGATTTCAGGCGTGTACTTAAGATAAGGCGGTTCTCCGCGGCAAAAGAAAGCAATTTCACAAAAGCTTAAAAGCGGCGGCGACGCGTGTGCGGTGAACGCTTGTAGTTTTGGTGTAGACAGGGTGTGTGTGTTCTCGTTGTTGACACCAGCCGGCGATAAGGCACTGCAGGCGGTAGCTCAGTACAGCAAGGGCTAATCCGAGTGACCATCAACGTAACCCCACCGCCAACCCCTCGCGAACCGGTCGCCGACATGGCTCAGGCTGTGTCATGAACCACGTGGTAGAAGCTCGGGTGCTTTCATATCAGCGCGTGGAGGGACGACAGTGCGATTCCGGAAAGTCTTTTTCGAAGGCCGCTGACCACAATTTTTTGTCTGGAGACTTTCCCTCTTTCTTCCTTTGACGTGGATCAAGCTTTGCCGACAGCCTCAGTTGTGACCTCTCTTTTCAAATGTACGTTTGCAGTGAGTGAGCTCCTCAGCCTCGGAATTGTCACTTGTGCACCCAGTAGTTCTTTCACTTGGCAATTATATGCCATCAGTTGGGGTTTAATTTCTATTATTTATGTATACATTATGAAGACGTCCTGGAGCTCCGAACGAGTGTTTTGTGCAGATTACTTTTGCAAACACAAAAAGACTATACCAAAGCAGCGGAATTTTCGAAGTGTTGGCGAGTTGGACCTAAACTCGTTGAAGCAAATTCTTCCGCCTGCCTGTTCCACCAAAGTGAGTGCGACGGACTACCTGTGCTACCATTGCTTCATGCACATCACTAAGGAGATATCGATGCGAAGCTCAGAGCAGTGCCCTGACATATTTGTGCCAGCTGAAGAAGCAATTGAAGATCTAAATCGCAGCATACTACCTACAGATGTGTCGCCGCTGAGACAACCAAGCGTCGTAAGAAGTCGGGACAGGCCTGCCTATGTCAAGAGAAAGCAGACAGAACTGGAGCAGATTGCTGTCAAGAATATACGCTCAAGGCTACGTATTGCGTACGACAGGGACGAACCATCGGGGTCGTCCGAACCGACATGCTCCACATGCACTGAGTGGGTGGACAACTTTCGGCAGGCCTTTGAAACCGCCACCTCTCTCCGGGAACGTTGTCAACTGCTTACACTCCTGCCGTCAACACTGACGAAGAATGAGGTTCAAAAGATGATTCCACAGGCCTCAATGTACCTCATCAGTAAATCCCGAAAACTCAAGGAAACGCATGGCGTGTGGTATGAGCCGGATCCTTACACGAGGTGCAAGGTGAGCCCTGAGAACCTGTCTGCTGCCCTAGAGTACTTCACGAAAGACGAGCTACAATGTTCGCGCCAAAGTCCCAACCAGAAGGACGTCATCTCTGTCATGCTCAACGGAGAGAAAACGTTCGTGCCAAAGCGCTTCATGACACGCTCAATACGAGAGGCCTTTCGTATATACAAAGACAAGCATCCCGATTCCGGCGTTGGGCTAACGAAATTTTATTCGTTGCGCCCTAGATGGGTCCAATGTATTCCACGCCAGGAAGTGCGCGTTTGTGTGCGCTGCGCCAATTATTATCTTTGTATTGCCGCTCTAGAGAACGTTACGGGCTCAACATTCAACACTGGTGAAATGAACTCGGCATTTCTGTGCGACCCAGCAACAGAACTGTGCCTTCAAAGAGACTGTGATCACTGCCCAAAAGGCCACTTTCTTACACTCCAGGAACTTGATATCCCGGAGGATGAAGAGATTGTGCTTGCAACATGGGAGTCCGGCGACCTTGTGAAAAAAACTTTGGAACCTGAGACTTTCCTAAAAGTCATCCAAGTGACGGTTGGAAGTTGGGTACTTCACAACCATATCCGGCAAACGCAAGGTAAAGCGATCTACGATGAAAAACAGTGCATGCAACGCGGGAGCATTGTCTTTCATTTTGACTTTGCTGAAAACTGGACCATCGTGCTTCCTGACGAAGTGCAAGCATATCACTGGAAAAAGAAAACAAGTTTCGATATTTATATGTGTAGTGACGACAAGAAAATCTACAAACAGCTTTGCCATCATCAGTGAGGACCTGTGTCACGACGCCGCTCACGCTTGCTTGGCTCTAGAAAAAGTGAAGGAGTGGGTTGAAGACAACGTTGCGGTATACTCGTACGTGACGTACGTAAGTGACGGCGCCGCCAGTCATTTCAAGAATCGCTACCAGCTACACCAATTTGCAAAGGACGATTGCCCACAAGCCCCGTGGTTATTTTCTGCATCTGGACATGGGAAGAATGCATGTGACGGAGTTGGCGGACTCGTGAAGCACCAGGCCACGCTGAACAACCTGAGAGAACGTTCAGTAAGCGCAATTCAGACGGCCAGGACAATGGTGAGCGTTCTATCAAAGAAACTGAAAGGCGTGCATCTTGTATATCTGGACGAAAATGAGGTTGTTCGGTATCGTGAACAAAAAAAAGAAGAGTGGCTGACGGTGCGCGCTTTCCCTGGCATTCAGTCTTCGCACGCGTGGCGGCTCAGCAAGTCATCAACAGAAGGGACCTGTGACGTATATGTAGCACGGACAGTCGGATCTGCTTGGAAGCAACTTTATTAAATGGGTACAGCGAGGAAAGCCTTAGCGTAAAGTGCCGAATTTGATTTCCCAAGGACTGCTCATTTTGAATGCAGGGACATCTTATTTATCACATTTTTCTTCACGGGGTATTTAACCTACTGTTTTTGTTGGTGGTTACTAATAATTTTTATCTGATCACTATAAAAAAAAAATCCCAAAATGTCATCCTCGAGCAGGATAAAATATATCGGCTTGCCACGATTCATTCATACACCGAGATCATCGAAGCTGCTCCAGTTAGGCACTATGGCATCCGTCACCTGA